TTCTCTTTTGGTGTACATACTTGAAGTCATCAATAAAACCTTTAGCCAATATTCCTCCTTGAATTTTCTCCCTCCTATTCTTTGTGTTCATCTTGATCGAGTGTGTGCGTTGTTGTGCGATCCTAACAAAAACTTCCCAATTAAGGAAACTATCTTCCAAGGAGAATTTTGAAAAGATTTGGGAAGCATTAAGCTTGACTGCCTCAAAACATACCAACCAATTCCTGGGTTTACTTCAAAAAAAAAAATTGGTTGATTTGCTCCCACCATAATTCAGAAATAATTGCTTTAATTGCATTGACCCTTAAAAGATAGGTCAGGAAGGAATGCAAGGACCAATGAGTAAGTGAGAGTATTGCACTTAGAATCGATTTGGAAGATCCATGGGTGCTGAAGAAGTTAAAAAACTTGTACCAACAGGACAAGGCAAAAGAACACTCAAATAACAAGATACCCGTCTCTGAACCCGAGCAACATAAAGGGCACCGGGTAGGTATTAAAGAAGAAGGGATCTTTCACTGTAACACATCCGAAGAATTGGAACCTTTAGTGATTCTACCTTCCGAAGATCTTTCAAAAGACCATCTAGTGACGATGAAATCCCCACCCATGCACCGGGAATATCTCAGTAAACACTTGTCACCAGGTTAACGTATCTTAACTCTTTCACCTTTCTCACTCTTTCTCTCATACAACTCCCTGAAAAGCCTCCAGAGTTCCCAATTATCTGGGAAGAAAGCCATTGAAATGCCATCTGGCTCAAAAGTTTTCTCTCTCTCAAAACCAAATCTCACCTCTCCAATTTTCTCCAACGAGAAGGAAGTTTCTAGATCACTTGTATTCTCTTCTGAAATGGGGCACCAATCAAGGGCATCCAGAAACGGCCTTGTAGAGATGGATGGACTGTAAAAGGAAGAAAACAAACGTTACAATTTGTGGAAATTGCTTGATTGGATGTGCAACTCAACAGAATCAGAAGTGTAAAAAAAGGAGGAAGTTGATGAAATTCTAACATAATTTGTGGAAATTGCTTGATTGGATGTGCAAGCTTTCAATACCTACAATGTTGACTTTGTACAGCCTTACTTACTTTTACTTTGATGAACAGTGCTAAGCTACGAGCAAGACAAAAAGAACGGCTTGCTAAAAGAAACGCAATGGAAGAATCCTTCCCTTGTGAGGGAGTGACTCTACATGGGTCACTCCTTCACCCTCAGTATCCTCGCATCAATGCGGCAGATTCAGATCAAGCACCAGGATCATTAGAAACTAATAAGGAGAGGACTGTAGTATTTATCTTGGAGGATGACAAACTTGTCCAGTCAGCAGATGCTCCAAAGAGCCAGATCAATTCAACCTTGAGGCTGGGAAGAATTTCAAGGCACACAATTAGCAGTAAATTAGATCTTGCTGTTGGTCCAATAGAGTATTCGTCTGCTGATAATTGTCCTCCAAGCCAACATTTTCTGGGCACCAGTCATGCAAACTCAGTCCCGATCAACTTGTTGCCGGTTCTTGGACTTTGTGCTCCTAATGCTAATCAGCATGAGACATCACGTAAAAGCTTGTCAAGATCAAATTGTAAGCAGAGCCGAACCGGAGCTGGACCTGATTTTCCATTTAAATTATCCCCTTGCTCTGGTACTTTAAGTGGCACTGATATTGGTGATGCTGAGGCTATGCCAGACAAAGAATTGCCGACTTCATCAGTAGAACGCTTGCAGGGCCATCTTTTATTTTCTCAGGTGAATTTTGTATCATTTCTGTTCAGTTTGTGGATGGCTTTCTCTATTGAGTATACTTCAGAATTTCCTGATATTTAGAAAGTCCATCTCTGATTTACAGGAAAATATGACGACCCACAATTTTCCCTTCGATGAGAAAATGCTGCCCAGATATCCAATCCCATTGAAGAACTTACCAAGTTCACGGCTTAACTTCTTATCAAATCTGTCCCTGGATAGCAGAGTTGAAGCCATTAATGGCTGTCTTCCAACCATACCTTTACTACCCAGTTTTAAACTCCCTTCCCTAGATGTTATGAGGGGAAATCAACAAGATGAGGAGGCTTCCTCCTTGGGTTTGGGACAGATGCTTCCAGCATTTTCGACATTTCCTGAGAATCATAAGAAGGTGCTTGAAAACATAATGATGAGGACTGGATCTGGATTTGCCAACTACTTCAGAAGGAAACCAAAAGGAGATGGTTGGTCAGAAGATGAACTTGATTTTCTTTGGATTGGTGTCCGTAGGCATGGAAAGGGAAACTGGGATGCCATGCTTAAAGATCCTAGATTGAAATTCTCAAGGTACAAAACTAAAGAAGATTTATCATCCAGGTGGGAGGAGGAGCAACTAAAGATTTTGGATGGGCCAGCTTGTCAGGTGCCAAAATCAGCTCAGCAGAGTAGATTACAGACATCTTCTCCATTTCCAAGTCTCCCTGATGGGATGATGACACGGGCTCTGCATGGAAGTAGACTAGTTACAGGATCAAAATTTCATACCCATCTAACAGATATCAAACTGGGTCTTGGTGATCTCATACCTAAACTACCTCGATTTGAAGCATCAGATCGGCTTGGTTTGCAAAATGAGCAACTTGCAAATATACCAACCTGGAACCATGACAAATATCACACATATGTTCCAGGAGAATCTTCGGCAGGAGCTTCTGATCGATCAGGGACGAATTCAGACATACCTGTTGGAAACCCTTTAATGTTCAATCCTTTGGGAACCAGTCGCTTGGGTTCTTCGGGTTTAAACAGCTCACATAGCTCTGATAGACAGGGAAAGGGGAGTGATGAACCTGGTCTTGATAACTCCGGGATGTTGCCTAATCTTTTGGATGGATCTTTGAAACTATTTGGTGAATCACCAAACAATTTTGAGAATGGTTCAGGACTGCTGCCTGATCCCAGCGAAGGGATCAGTGTAGCAAATTTGAAAGAAGTAACAGATGGTAATTCTTCAAAGGGCAAACTACCCCATTGGCTAAGAGAAGCTGTAAAAGTTTCTTCCAAGCCTCCAGACTCTAACCTGCCTCCTACTGTGTCTGCAGTTGCACAATCAGTTCGCTTGCTATATGGGGAAGACAAATTTATTACCATTCCCCCATTTGTGAATCCAGGTCCAGCTCCCTCTTTACCTAAAGATCCAAGGCGGGGTCTAAAGAAGAAAAGAAAAAGGAAATCGGTTATTTTCAGACAATCCCCACCAGATGTAGGAAGCAGCCAACAGGAGGAGCTTGACGGTGGGCCTGTCCAAGGCGATGCTACCGTTTCTTGCTCCATCTCATTGGTCTCACCACTTGCCATGAATCCACAACCACAGGAAATGGCAGGAACTTCAAGGCTTCCAGGTCTGGAATCTGACATCAGCGTACCTGCTCTAAACTTGAACATGAATCCATCATCCTCAACCCTGCACACGAACCAGCAGAAGAAAACAAGCATGGGACTGTCCCCATCACCGGAAGTTCTTCAGTTAGTTGGGTCTTGCGTCACTCCCAGCTCACATAGGTCATCTTTATCAGGGAACTTGAACTCAAGTCTCCTTGAAAAGCTCCCCCTATCAACTTCTCATGATCCAGAAGAGCTCTTGGGTACCAAAGGTTTGTCGGGAAAGAGTAGAAAACAGAGGTTATCATTCAATTCGTTAGATGTCTACAATGAAGACAAACCGAATTCCCCTGGAAGTGATGAGTTGAATGAGACACTCTCAAGAAGCCAAAGACCTGATGGGGAAGAAATATCATCTGAAGGGACTGTCTCGAATTGTCAAGCGAGCGACAAAGAATTATAGTTGTAATACGGTGTAACAGTATAGTCATTTTTTAGTGCTGGGGGAGGCTGGATGTGAATGTGCTTGAATTTTTGTAGGCATTCTCCAAGGAGTTAAATGCTGCATTGGTGAATGTAGGGTTACTATTAGCGTATCTTGTGTAAAGCTTTTGGGAAGAGAAATGTGAAATATGGTTCTGTTTTGCCACTCCTTGCGTTGTGGGCTGTTAAGGTAGAGCAGCAAGCTCTCCAGGTTCTGATTCTTGGTCACGAGTTCGAAGTAAAGTGTGTTATACATTCAGCACTTAAAGCACAAGCACTGAAGTGTTCCTGATTCTTTGTAATTGTAGTAGGACTGTATCCTTCCTTCCTTGGAAACGACCAAAATGGGATCGCTCATAAAAAAGTGAATTGATGATGAATCTCCGCCTCTCCGGTACAGGTATTTTCTTCTACTCCCATCCCTCTTCATCTTTTTGGCAATTATACTATTACTTGAAGATACAAGAATCCTCGCACACTGCCCAACAAATAATGCCATCTACTACTGAATTAATGATACAAATATCTGAAGCTTTTAGCCTTTCATTCAAAGATAAATAGAAATTGGTAATTTAGTTGTAGCTTTGATCACTTGAAAATGAAGAAAGAATAGCAGCAGCCAAATCCTTAAAATACATGAACCCTAATTTACGGAAATTCTCAGACCATTAGGGGTTGAATACTTTAATCTCATATTTTCTTTATACAAAAAAAAAAAAAAAAAAAAAAAAAAAAAAAAAAAAAAAAAAAAAAAAAAAAAAAAAAAAAAAAAAAAAAAAAAAAAAAAAAAAAAAAAAAAAAACTAGTCAAGCCGTCTGTGGCAGTAAACTGATGTATATTTGCCTCCATCCATTCCGGGATTTTGCTAACCACTTCCCTTTACTCTCCTCTCTCTCTCTCTCCCCCTCTCTCTTTTTTAAAGAAGAAACTATGTCAAGCAAAAGTAACGAGATCATCATAATTGGAAGGAACTCTGACAAATTCTTATTCTTCTCTCTATTACTCCTTTATCCATCCCCATCCGTCTATCACTTTTTTTTCCCCAAGATCTTCATGTGAACCTCACTCTCCCTAAGCTACAATTATTAATTCATTTATTTCACAGGAGAAACAATTGGATAGAAATTATCTTAATTCCTTCTTAATGTGTTTTTTCCCTCTCTGGAATTCTTGAACCAGGTATATTTTTATATATAAATCAAAATCGCCCTAATGTTGCATACAAGTAAAAGATCGGTTAAGAAAGGGGAAAGAAAAATGCTAGGGATAGAGATCGCGCTAGCGAGAAGCAGTGACTGTTCCATCAGGGGCAGGACGAGAAACAGTTCCTGGATTGGACGCGAATCTCGAGGAGAAAGCGCAGAACTGATAGTAGTGCTCATCTAACAAGCTTCCGCACCCGCTGGTGTCGAAGTTGAGAGAGTAGCTCAAAGGATCGTAGCGGCATTGGAAGTTGCTGCTGCTCTCCCCAGTTGTGCTACAGAGTACTCTGCCGCGTTTCTTCAGTTTGCGCAACAGTTTGGCGATGCGGTTGCAGTGCGAGGAGGATACCTTTGAGGCGAGCGAAGTCGCAGATACGGCACCGGTGGCAGAGGGTGTGCTAGATTTGGCGGCGGCAGAGGAGTTCTTTGGCCACCAGAGAAGCCACATTTGCGCCATGTGAGTTGGAGTTGGAGTGGAAGTTGAAGATGAAGATGCCGGTTCCGTGGCAGTTGCAGAGCAAAGAGCGGTGAAATGTGGAAAGTGGAAGGCGATTGAGATGAGATGAGATGATTAGCGAGCAATCTGAGTGTGAGGACTGTGGTAGTTTATTTATGTAGAGAAGTGGGAGTGTGGGTTCCACGCGTATATGAGAGCGCGTGAGGGTGAACTGTGTCGTTGGATCTCAGCGTGATTGTGAAAGATAAAAAGAAAAAGAAAAGGGTTGCCTCCTTTTCCTAGTCTCTCTGGGAAGCCATGCGTCCCCCACGTGATCCAGCAGTGGTAAACCCTAATTCCCATTTGCTCCCCTTTTCTGCATATTTCTTTTTCGTTTCTTTTCTTTTCTTTTCTTTTCTTTTCTTTTCTTTTCTTTTTTCCTAAAACAATAAATTAATTTAATAATAATAATAATAATAATAATATTGATTACTTAGGATGATGGAAGAGGGCAAATGATTTGAGAGAGAGTGAGACAAGATGGCTCATGCCTTGGCCCCGCCCACGCTACTCCACCTTTGCATTACTTCCCATTTCATTGCCTTTTCTTTTGTAGGCCCCTTCTTTTTCTTCGTCTTCCTTCTATATAATATACCCCTCCATATTTCGTCAAATAAAATTGTAAAAACATATGCAACCATCATGATTGGTTTACATTTATTCTTATCCTTTTCTTTTCTACCTGACGATCATCATTGGTTGGCATGAATTCTTGGGAGTGTGACACAGGTATCCCTTGTGCGCTACTTTGGTTCATCTCGACTTCATGTGACACAGGTATTTCATATTTCATATTTCATAATTTATAGGTATGGTTGCATTGGATTTTGGATCCAACTTCAGTTGCCCAATATTATTCTATCACTATCTACCACGCATGATTTTGTGGGTTCTGTTTATTATTCTTAACCATGTGCAAACCACGTGCCCTCTGAAGCGCCCAAAGCTTTCATTATTTGTTTTAATTTTCTCTGTTTTATTATATTAAAAATAAATAAATGGGGAAACAAGTTTGACCGAGGCATGTGCCTATCCTTGGAATCTAAAAAAAAATTTACTTATTTATTTATTAATATATATATATATATATATCTATATTCTTTTTAAATACCACTTAGCTCCAATCAACTTGCCTTCCATAAAGTTTGCTTAAAATATGCAATTATATATTTTCATCCTTTTGTTTTTAAATATTAAAGTGTTTAGCATTTCCCGGGTTTATTGTTTTTTTTTATAACAAAGATAGTGTTAAGTACTAAAATTTGTATTTATTTATATATTTAGTAATTATTCTATTTTAACTAACTTGGATTCACTCGTCTACATAAAGTTTAAAAGTCCAAGGGAAGAAAGAGAACGATAGAGAGAAAAGAGTAATTAAAAATAAATAAATAATTCATGGGTTTCGGGCTTAGGAAACCAAGCCTTTTATAGTTGAACTGGGCCCCGCCTTTTATTGTTGAACTAGACCCAGCCTTTTATAGTTGAACTGGGCCCAGCCTTTTATAGTTCAAATAGGCGCAGCCATTTGTAGTTGAATTGGGCCTCGTTTTTATAGTTGAATTGGGCCGAGCATTTCTAGTTGAATTGGGCCAGCCATTTAGAGTTTCTTTGGGCCAAGCCATTTATAGTTGAATATGGCCCGCCATTTAGAGTTGAATTGAGCCCAGCCATTTAGAGTTGAATGGGGCCGAGCTTTTAGAGTTTAATTGGGCCGCCCTTTAATAATTTATTGGGCCCTGGATTTTATAGTCGAATTGGACCGCCCTTTTTATAGTTGAATTAGGCGGCCGTTTATTGTTGAATTGGGCCCAGCCTTTAAATTTTAATTGGGCCGAGCCATTTTATAGTTTAATTGGGCTCTGTCTTATTATTGTTAAATTGGGCCTTGCCTTTTTATAATTGAATTGGACCCTGCCTTTTATAGTTGAAATAGCCGAATACAAAAGTGGGCCTAAATCCTATACCCAACATGACACAGCCTAGTACTAGTGGGCCGTAAACCAGAACCTAACTCGAAACAGCCCAAAATAAAAGTGGGCCTAAGCTCTCAGCCCAATATGAAGCAGCCCAATGAGAAAGTGGGCCGAAATCCGGTTCGGCCTTTTGAGTTCTTCCGCTAGTCAGGCAAGAAAGAAAACTCGTGGTCGCTCGCAGTTGTAATTCAATTGCTGTTTGCTGTGCTTGAGGATGGAAGTCGACGGTGCGGTGGTGATTGAAAAAGTTGCAGGAAAATCAGCCGTTAGCAGATGCTTTTCTAAGTATCCCATCAAATTCATCATTCCCAGAAAGGTCTGTTGTTTTATTCTAATCACCTTTTTCTCTTCCTCGTTTTTTCTCCGTCATTAGCCAAATATGTTCAATCGCTTCTAGTGGTTCTTCTGTTAGGTTGGTCCTTCCAAAACGGATGCTATTTGGATTTACACTCTCAATTATGGCGGCGGCATTGTCTCTGTACTAATGAATAACACATCCCCTTTTCAATTTATTTTCTACATTTTTTTCTTTTGATCATTCTTATTCGGGGCACGTTTTTCTGAAGCAGGGAGATTCAATTTCGTGCGAGTTGACCGTTAAAGATGGCTGCACTGCAGCCCTAACGACCCAGTCTTCTACTAAGGTGATCAATCTTCAGATAATTCGCCACTTCCTTATTTTTGTTTAGTGATTTTGGAACCCATGCTAAGTGTGTTGTACTTGATCTATCTTGTTCTTGGTACTTGATCTATTTTGCAATCTTATGCTGCTTTAGGTTTACAAGTCCCGGGGAGAAGAGCGCTCTGAACAACTATTGGAGGTAACAAGACGAAGATTGTTAATATCTACCTTAATATTAATTGCTCTGAAACTACCTTAATGTCTCGCATTATTGTTTGTTTTATGATACTAGAGTTCAAGGTTCTTTTTGAAGTTCTTTCTACGTTTCCATAAATATTTGTCTGTGTAGCTACATGAAGTTCAGCATTTTTCTGCAGTAGGCAAGGATTGGTAGCGATGCACTTTTGGCGGTACTTCCAGATCCAGTGACATGCTTCGCCACCGCAAGGTATGCGCAGAAACAAGTGTTTAGAGTTGATTCAGGATCTAGTTTGGTTCTTGTTGATTGGTTTACAAGTGGACGCCATGGGAGGGGAGAAATTTGGGAGTTCAATCTTTTCAAGAGCACTAATCAAATATTCTTAGAAGACGGCCATCCATTGTTTTTTGATACGGTAAAGCTAAAAGTGTCTTCACTGATTCATTCTGTACTCTTAAGTGCTTAACTAGAATTTTATGCACAGATTCATTGAGTTTGTGCCTATTGTCTATTTTCTGCTTGATAATATCGTAGTGAGGGATCGTGATTGGATACGAATCTAGAACGATGCCCCAACTGTGCTGCATCACATTCCCTTCCACTGTATTGTCAATCATATACATCATATAGATATGTTAAGATACAGGCTTTCCAGTTTTTTTCGTTTGTTCATGAGAAGTGCTTTATACTAGCATCTACAGTGGAGTATGATAATACAATTTCTTTAAGATCTTTTTCTGGAACCATATATTGTTTCATTGCAGGTGCTTCTAGAGCAAGGAAGCACGAACTCTATAATAGAACGCATGCATGGATACCAAGTCATTGCAATGGTTGTCATTTTGGGGTAGACACTTGAGTACTTTGAACCTATGAAGATCAGGGAATTTGTATTCTAGTTTACATCATTGTTGATGGTGGCTTCACTGCAGGCCAAGGGTTAAGAAAGTCCAAGACGAAGTTCGAGAAAACGTGAAAAAGATGATGAGTGACCAGTTATATTCTCCTTTTACTTCTACCCGTGGAGCCCAAGTGAACAAGAACTCTGATCATTTGTATGCCAAACCTAGAATCATTGCTTCTTCCAGCGTCTTTGGCCCCAAGGTTAGTTTTTTTTCTTTTTTTTTTAAATAAAAAAGAATGAATTGTAAATAAATTTGCCTTTAACCATGGCCTCCAAATTTGTTGGGATCGAGTAACTACTGCTAAGTGGACTACGAATTCTAAATGTTACTGTTTACATTTAGGGAATTGGCACCGTTGTTAGAATCGCTGCCATGGAAACTGAAACAGTCTACAGGTTTCTCCAACAACAGTTAGCTTCAATGGAGCCACTTCTTGGAGTGCCCCCTTATAAATGAAAGATTTAATAAGAGTATTACTCAAAACTCTAGGGCTTAAGCGTTGGAGGAGGCAGGATTGTGGATTACGAGTTCCAAGTGTTTTTGTACTATTCTGCAAATGGGTAGCCCAAGTGTTGTACTATTAGCTGGAAATCTTCCAAGTGTTGTACTATTCAATTCTGTAAATGGGAGTCTTCCCCTTCCGACGGAGCATCCGTCTGTAGAATATGGTATCAATAAAGTGAAGAAGAGGAGCCCCCAAGTTATCCGGCTGCCTTATTGGACCTATATCAAAGCTGTAGACTAGTTTTGTTGTGGGGCTTCTCCAGTCCATTTACTAGTTCAATAGAAAAAATGACGTTTTGTAGGTTGGATTAGCTTTATGAATGGTGAATTATTACTTTATTAGGGGGAAAAAAGTAATTATAAGAGATAAACCTGTTGTAATTGAATTGTAAGCAGGCACAGTTGGACTATACCTTCTGCCGATCGAGATGGGGAAAGAGCCTTCATTTTAGACAATTACAATTCAACGAAAATAATAACAATTATGAACAATCTGAAGGGTGGAATTGAGTTAACGAATTCACTTCCAACGACTAAAATATGGGCGTTAATGATGTATATTTGCCCAAATAAATTTATAACCGAAGCTGATAGAAAGCCCACACAATATTTGATGGTCTTTAGGAAATATTTATATTAACAAAACCAAATAAGCAGTCATTTGATGTCACAAAGCATTAAATGATTCACACTATACCTCACAAGTATAAGAAAAATGGACCTCATCAATGCTAGCTCTGAAATAATAAAGCCGGTGACTCACAAATAGATTTTGGAAAAATTGACTCGACTAGAAAGAAATTTCACAAGGTGCGTGAAAAGTCCTTCCACGGCATATCGCTTCCAGGTTTTCTCCAGCATATGAACAAAGTGGTGATACCTCCACACCTGGGTTCAATATCAAATATATAGATTACATCAGAATACTGCATTTCAAATAGTTTCTTTCTAGTTTATATGTACAATGAATCACTGAAGTTCTGAAGATATTTTATGAACATGATCTATAATTCAAGTTCACAAATATACCAGTTGCATATAAGGGCACTGAATGTGTCAAGAATCCACCAGCTGCAACCACCCAGCGAGCATGGAGTCGAAGAACAAGAA